CAGTGCACTTTTACTTTCGCCCTCTGGGGGGAGCCTCGCTGGAAAATCAACACCGGTTGCATAGTGTACCTTTAAGACATAATACTCAAAGAAATGCTAATGATCTGCGCTGGAATTTTTTGCATTTACAAATTCTGTTTTACTCATTACTTAAAAGCAATTTTTAATCTCTCTTTATTTTTCAGAGAAAATAAAAAGTACTCTTATTTTTACAGCTGAATTTAACAGTTTTTCTTGAGTTCTAATTCAGATTTTATAGAAAACTGTAATTTTAACTTAAATTAAGGTCAAAAAATCTACAGCTACTCAACCTGAACGCTTTCAATAGGGTTTATATTTTCCAAAAATGAGCTCAAATATATATATATATATATCCTGCATTCTTAGTACGGACACAGCTTCACTTCCATTCATGCCTTTAAGCTGCATCAGTGATTATCATCCAAACCAGCCAAACTTTATGTATTGAACCTTATATTTCAAAAATAATTTATAAACTAATTTTTATTATTTGTGCTTTAATTCTTGTAGGTTTCTTATGTTTTAATTTGAAATCTGCGCCCTGTGAGTCCGGCTGTCTCTGGGTTGCTGGTGCAGCTATTTCCGAGTCTCGTTGAACTACAACAGGCAAAATTATATGTTGAATTTTATTATAGCGTTGCATATTTTTTCTTGTAAACTTGAGGATATATTTTATTGCATGTTGCATATCTCAGTAAATCTGTTCCACCTTTAAATCAGCAGCTGTCCCTAATTGTGTTTTTGCTTAAAAACAGATTTATGAACCCGTCTACCGATTTAATGATGCCAGAGAAAATCATTTTTAGGATCTCTAGAAGTTCTGCAGTCTGATTCTCTGTTCAATAAGAAAAAAACTGATCTGTGTTCATTTTTAATAACTCTGAGTAATGATCCTCTGAGAAGCCCAGCTTTTTTAACTTATATAAATGTACAATCTGTTGCCATTTTTAGCTGAAAAAGCTCTGTATGTGTGTAACGAATGGATTTTTCTGTGGCATCGCTGTTTTTTTTAACCAACCCGTCTATCAAAGTAGCTGCTGGTTAATATTCACTGAGTGCTGCTGTGTCTCCTCCTCCTCCACGTAGCGACTCTGTACGCAGTGAAAAGCGACCCCAAATAATATTATGTCTCAAAGCGACAGATCCGATGACGTTTGAAGAGATAGTATTCTTGAAACCCTAGGAAAAAAACACAGACGGAAAACGCTTCGAGCACAGTTAGTTGCACCTAAACCCCAGTTACTGTTGGCAGAAGTAAATCAGAGGAAAAAAAAGCAAAAATTATTGGTGGGGATTTGTCCACAACAATCCTTCAGAAAGTTACACCAGTGTTTGAATCCTTTTTATTTAATGTTTTTCTGTGCCCCAATGAAAACACACGGCCCCCCTCCTGGCCCCCTTGTACATTTGGTCTAGAACCGCCACTGGACCTTCTGACCCTTTTTTTTTGTTTTTTTCCATCCGCTTCTGAGTTTTTTTTTTTTCCTCCTCCAGAGGTTTTTGGATAATAAGCGGTTTGTTCGCTGGTTTCTGAGCTGATCCAGGGCTGAGGCGTCTCTCCTCTGCTAGTTCCTGACCCATCGCATTTATTCTGCCCGATTCGCACAAACACACGGCGGGAGGACCGAGGAGCCGCCGCGTCCTCTGAGAGGAAGAACTGATTCAGGTCAGGATCAAAGCAAAGCACCAAAACTCGCTGAAAAGCAAACAAACGCTGTGGAAACATTTCAAAGAGCTGGCACTGATTAGCTTACATGCCACCGAATTAACCCTTAGACCTGTCCGGTTCAGAGAAAATAAAAAATGAGCCCCTTTTAGAACTCAACCCGCACTGGAACCCGAACTTTGAAAAAACCTCCGTTTTCTCTCCGAAGTCTGGTTTTGGTGCCTAGGGTCAGACCAACGTGAAGCAGCAGAGGTCACTGACTCACCAACTGGATCAGAACCAGCTGCGAACTCACCTGTAACCGATCCTCGAACTTCTGCTGGGTCCGCTCGTCAATTCTAACCTCCAGGCGTGCAGAACTGAACCGGGTCCAGAGGACGAATAGAGCAAATACGGACCGGAGCGAGGATTTTCCTAAAGTTTAGCACGGAGCCGCTTCCGTCCACTGCGTCATGACGTCAGGAGCGTAAGAAAGAGGGCGGGGTTAAAGATGCTCCTGATTCATTTGATCCAATCGAAAAGTGAAATTAATAGTGAGGGGCGGGGCTATGTTTCAGCCACGTCAACGGCCTTTTTTTTCAAACGGAAGTCACATGACCTTCCACAGCCTGACATGGCGCGTGGAGACAGAGCAGAAATATTCCCTTAATTTGTGAGAAAAGAAAGCTTAGTTAAAGAAAATGAAACTAATATGTCAGGAAGAAAATCATCTCTACATTTTTATTAATGTAATAGTTTAATAAAATAAAACCTTACTATATAAATTAGAATGGAATCAAATTTATATATCGTGGTTTTATGAGTTTAAATCATAAAAAATGCAACAAAAAAATCTATATAATTATAAATAGCCTATATTTCATTATACTAATCACCCAAATGTTGATAAAAACAATTCATTTTGGATAAAAATTAACAATAAAGATTAATTAAAATAATTTTCAAATTAACTCCTTTGCTTCAATGATCTGAATCGTTATTATAAAATCATAACTAAATTAAGAAATTATAACTATATTATAATAAAATCATAACTGAATTATAAAATCATAACCAAATTATGACAAAATCATAACAAAGTTATAAAATCATAACTGTATTATAATAAAACCATAACTGAATTATAAAATCATAACTAAATTAATTATAAAATATTACTAAATTATAAAATGATAACCAAATTATGACAAAATCATAACAAAGTTATAAAATCATAAGTGTATTATAATACAATCATAGCTAAATTATTAAATAATAACTAAATTATTATAAAAATCATAACAAAATTATCATAAAATCATAGCTAGATTATTATAAAATCAAAACTAAATGATTATAAAATCACACCTAAACAACGTGACGGGGTCAGGGTCGTGCAGACAGATAATGGCGGTTCAGACGAGTTCATGTTTTTATGATGTTACAGAGACGCTGTAACCTCAGCAGGTTGCTGATCTTATCATTGTTCTGAGCTTTTATTGTGCTTCCCATCATCCATCTGAGCACGTAACGCAGCTGTAAACATTTCATTCTCCTTTTCTTTACGATTCAGGTCTGCAGCCAACGTGCAGGACTAGCACTAGTCCTCTTTTATCATTTTATTTATTCTGGTCAAAGTGTCCTTGCAAGCAATTAATTATCTCAATCTTGTAGAAATAAGGTTTATTTATCTATGCACCGGTCCGTCTGGCTCTTAAAGAACAACCCCGTCCACTGTGTCACTGATTGTAGGAGAGAACTGGAGTAACTGATATTTATTACATGTTTTTAGTAAAGAAAATAAATAAAGGATTAAAATTTTCTCTTCTTT